TGACTGTTGGGTCTGTTGGATTTCTATTACTCTACTACACCTGCTAGTAAAATTATTTGCCATGTAGAAATATAATTTCTACCAAAAACAGTGATTGATCAGGTTAGTGATGTCTGACTGCTATTATTTTGATCACAACTGTATATATATATGTGGCATGTTGAATCATAATTACAAAAATCCTGGCCCACCACCATTTAGCTACCACCCCCACTCCTAGCACCCCCTTGCCGTGGAAGCAGCCACAGAATCTAATTTGTATTGATCTTCTTCCCAAAACCAGTCCTCCCCCTTTTTCAGGTGTGCTTGAAAATGCCCACTTTTTCTGTTACAAGTTCACCATTTTGCATGACCGTTTCATCTCTAACTCCTTTAACTTGCTGTTACTGAAACCTAGCTTCAGAAATCTGACTGTCTTTCCAGCTCTCCTCTCTCATGGTAGCCTCCAGTGGATTCATTAACCCAATGGACAAACGAGAAGTGGAGTTGGAATCCTTCTGTCCCCACTTTTCATGTTCTTCCCTCGCCTCCCTCTTTGTCCATCTCTTTTTTTTAAGCTCATTGTATATGTATATTTTCTCCAGTTTCTCTGAGGATTGCTGTGATCTATCTCCCCTCTTGGACCAATATCAACTTTTCTTAAAGACTTTTCTGCCTGGCTATCCTACTTACTTTTCTCTGAAATTTCCATGACCATTCTTGATTACGTCATTTTCTCTGTTAATATTATATTAACACTCCAGTAGGCTCTATATACCTCTCAGTCTAACCTTCTCTCTTGACCACAATGGACACCCTCTTTTAGTCACTTTGATGGCAACTCCCTTGTATTCTCCCACGTCTGCATTAACTGCAACCTCCAACAATCCTTTTCCTCTCTCTGATCATTACCTTATTAGCTTCATGTTTTCCCTGTTTCAACCTACTATCTCTCCATCCCTTTGCTCACCCTGCCAGTCTCCTTATACACAGCTAATTTACTAACTGACATTTCAATATGAATGTCAAAGAACTTTCACAAACCCATTCTTTCCAAAACTGAGCTCATAATATTATTAATAATAATACCTTTAAAACTAAAGTCCTCTTTTTTAAAGGGAACCTTTGCAGCATAAAAAAAAGTTTCTATGGATGAGACAGCAGCTTAAAGTGACCAATAACCTATGATAGTAAAAAAAAATTCCTGAGACCACACACATTTTTAAACTACTACACGACTGCTTCTGTAGCATATGTTTTTCTATTGATGCTGCAGATTATAAGCTTGTTTTATGCACAATATCATCTAAATCAAAGATTCTTGTCTGCAGGAAATCAAGAGATTACAAATGTTATCTACTTTTGTATAACCCTACGAAAGGATATAGTGATGATTATTAGTATAACAGAATACGGGTACCAGTATAAGGGTATTAATGTGGCATGTCATCAGTCAGTTTATCCATAACCTGAAAAGGTTACAAAGTTACATAGTTAGCCAGGCTGAAAAAAGACACAAGATCATCTAGTTCAAACAATAGAAAAAAATAAATCAATAGAAAACCTCCATATACGTAATCCTTTATCCACAAGTGATCTATAGGAAAGTTGTTTGTGACATTCTGACTTTAATATTGAATCCTAGGGGTTGATTTACTGAAAGTGGAGAGTGCAAAATCTAGTGCAGCTCTGTATAGATAGCTTAAAGCGATACTAAAGTCTTGTTTTTTTTTTTTTTTAATTTCAATAACAAACATGTCATACTTACCTTCTCTGTGCAGTGGTTTTGCACAGAGCAGCCCAAATCCTCCACTTCTCGAGTCCCCCATTAGTACTTCTGGCCCCTCCCTCCAGTTGGTTCCCCATAGTAAGCAGCTTGCTATGGGGGCACCCGAGCAGGAGCGCTCCTGAGCCTTGGCTCTGCGTGTCTATTCACAAACAGAGGCATGGCTCGGCCCCACTACCTCCCTCTCCTCATTGGCTCACTGGCTGTGATTGACAGTCATGGGAGCCAATGGCTTCCAATGCTGCCTCAGCCAATCAGGAGTGGGAGTCCCTGGAAAACCAAGGCTCTCCTGAACATCGCTGGATCGGGCTGGGGCTTAGGTAAGTGTTAGGGAGGGCTGCTACACACAGAAGGTTTTTTTTTTACCTTCATAGATAGAATGCATGAAGGTAAAAAAATCTGGAGCCTTTGGAACCACTTTAATTGAACAAGCTTACATTAAAAGCTGATTGGCTACCATACACAACTGTTCGTTCTGGCTGGTCTCCCTCTCCCAGACATTGCCCGCACCCACCACTCTGCTCTCCCCGGATCTCCGTACAGACAATGGGCAGAGCCGAGCTCTGGCCACTCTCAGGCAGCACTCACTGATCAGCGGAGTCTCCCTCCTCATCCAGTCTCTCGGCTCCTTCTCTCTACCACCTCCAGCCTGTGTGTGCCCTGCAGATCCAGCAGCCACTGATTACTAATCACCAGCCAGGAGGAGGAGCTTGCAGAGGAAGGGGCAGGCTACCCTAGGCCGCTCAGAGATCGCGGGGTGTGGCTGGCTAAAAGAGGGGAGGGGTTGGCTTATGTTGCTCAGCGGACGGGTGGAGATCTAGCTGCCAATAGTGAATCAGAAGCCAAGAGAAGGGAAATTCCAACAACACCGCGACACGGCATCTGCCAGTGATCCAGTCCGGGACCGAGAGTAGTTTATACAATTGCGACACAAGTCATATTGCAATTGAATGTTATTAAAAAATACCTGTTCTTTTCAATCAGCAGCACTGTAATTTTCTGTAAAATGCAATAGAATATGGCTACCTGAAGGTGTACAGAGCTTCCCCCAGAAACATAATTTCCTTCTTGAGTGATTGCCTTACTGATTTTCCCAGAAGTCTGCACTAAGATTCACATCAGATTTTTGGCATCCCCTACTACAGAAATATCATTTTTGGTGAGATATTCCCAAAGGACAATCCAGTCTAAAGGGATCCAGACCCTGCAATTTTCCTCATTAGTGCCCTGCAGGTGCAGCTGCTGATTGATAATATAAAAACACTCCCATACAGATTCACTCTGCACATGGACACAGACAAACAAACAGGTGTTTCTTCATAATAACAAAAGGAAGGAATCTGCAATGACATTTGCTAAGATCCTTGCTAGGTACATAGATTACCCAGTAGGGGATGTTTTTTTCTCAACAAAAGTGGAGTTACTCTTTAACCTCCCTAGCGGTCTGATTATGTCCATGTTTCTGTGCTCAAAGCGGTACATTTTTTTGCATGGAAATGTGTATTTTTTTGATTGTAGGCCTGTAATTTTTAGGAATAACTCACTGAAATCTGTCCAAACAAGAGTCTAGTAAACATCCCGGGTATGTTAAAATTTGAAACACGAAATCATAAATTATAATTTAATAAATAATCATAAAAAGTAATAATATAATAATAATACATTTAATTCAATAATATAATCAAACCAAAAACACTGAAATTTGAAATAGAGCGCCAAGTTCGCACATCACTGAGCAAATTCGCAAAATCGTTTTCAGTGTCTGATGACGAATTTCCCCAGGAATCATTGATCAACACTTTTCATCCATCAATCAAACTAAAAATGGAATACTCAAACACACACGTCAACTTCCTAGACACCACAGTATACATCAGGGATGATATGCTTCACACCTCAATATACAGGAAACCCACTGACAGATGCAACTACCTCCACAGTTCCAGCTTCCACCCCCAACACACGAAACGTGCCATCATACACAGTCAGGCCATCAGATACCACCGAATATGTTCTGACCCAAGAGACAGAGATAAACATCTCGGGACACTAGCAGACTCCTTCCATAAGAAAGGTTACAAGGACAAAACTATCAACACCAGCATAAACACAGCCTTGAGAACCCGAAGAGAAAATCTGCTTCAGTACAAGGAGAAAAAAACAAACAACCGTGTACCTCTAATAACCACATACAACCCAGCACTAGAAGGGATAAGAAAAATAATCAAAGAATTACAACCCATCATAACAGAGGATGGAACTCTGAAAGAAATATTTCAGCAACCCCCAATACTGGCCTTTAGACAACCCCCCAACCTCAGAAATAAACTAATCAGTAGGAAGCTTCCTTCTGATCTAGATGTCACAAATAATGGAAGCAAACCCTGCAATAGAAAACACTGCAAACTGTGCAACCAAATGAATCCACCAAAAAGTGTCAGACACTCAAAAGGGATCTTCAATATTTCTGGATCATACAGCTGCACCTCCAGTAATGTTGTGTATCTTATCCAGTGCAGAAAATGCAGCAAAGGATCTTATGTTGGCGAAACAGGACAGAAGTTGCAAACAAGGATGAATTTGCACAGACATACCATCAAGGAACATAAAGAAGATGACCTCTGCACACCTGTGGGACACCATTTCGCACAACCGGGCCACACAATGGGAGACCTCAATATTTTAGTTCTTAAAGGAAATTTCAAATCCATTCAGGAGAGAAAAACTGTTGAACTAAGAATGATAATTCTATATTACAAGAGATAACGGCCTGAATTTGGACATGGGATTCCTCACTCATTATCCAACATTTTTATCACCTGTAGTGAGTGTAGTATTCCCCGCCCCCTCTCGCTTGCTTATTTGCTGTCTCTTATCTCTAGCCTCTTTTTTTTTTTTCATCCCTTCTAATATTCTGCTGAAACTTTGTGATTTGTATTTGTATAGTACTGCTTGGACCTTGAAGAAGGGGACATACCCCAAAAGCTTGTCCTCAAAATTGTATGTTAGTGAAAATAAAAAAAGTATCACGGACAGTACTCAATTGTTTCTCCCACAAATCATTATCACTCAATTCTGCAAGTAGTTCTAATTTACTAACGCTGTTCTCTAGCTGGTCTAAAACCGATTTTGACCTAAAGGGACGCTTTTCGGACGCCATGGACGTTTCTCAGTTTCAAGGCAGAAAGAACAGTAAAAATGCAGGCAGGGCACAGGTCAAAGCACTCGGGACAAAATGTATGTGAAATGCTTTGATACAGTAATGTTTTACTATGTGATTTTAGTGTATTTAGTGAATGTCACTTTTTGTCACTTTCAAATTTCCCCCCGGTTCCCGGACGGAACCCAGAAGACAGATGCCAGCATCTGTCGGAGGACATTACAGGGGACACTGCAGGAGGGACATCGCGGGAGCGCAGGACAAGGTAAGAGAAGAACAGATCCCGGAGCAGCGCCGCATGGTAAGCCTGAGTGTAGCTCGGGGTTACCGCTTGTGGTACTGAAACTTTACCCCAAGCTACACTCGGGAATACTGCCAGGGAGGTTAAAATGGATTTTGTTGGTTTCTCATATCTGTATTTTTGTTTTATAGTGCTTCAATATGATTCCTTACTAACTGTGTCACTGCAACCCTCATGTAAAACTCCCACCATTGGAATGAGTTTTCTGGATTATTCGGTTAAGTTCCAATGCAGTATTCACTTCTAGTTTTAACAGAATTACTTCACTTCCACCAGAAATGGCATGTCAAGGTGCTGACCTGTGGGAGTTGGTGGCCATTTTAAGGCTGAGACCCCCTTGAGAGAGGGGATTAGCCCCCAAAATGCAGGACTCCACTTCTGTCTGCCTAACTTTATACTTGTGGACAGTAGTGCTCATTTTGCCCAATTGTTGTATTTTATGTACTTAATATCATATACTCCTCTTTCTGCACATTTATGTATCAGGACACTACACAGTATATTTGTTACACACACTTCTTACTATCTTTATGAACTTTGTGATATGTGTTTCAATACAATACCTTCTTTTGCATCAATATTGTTCTCACTGTGCTAACTTTTATATATATATATTTATTACTATAAGAAGAAAACAAAACCTAATGGAACTTTACAGGTACAAAAAGCGGACAACCTCATGTTGTACATTAAACATATTTATTGAACTGCATCTTCCAAACACATAATATAAAATCAATACTTGGCTAATATGCCCAAGAGATCACAGTATTGTGTTCCTTGGCATAAATATCCTCCAGAGGTCGACGCGTTCTGCCTGTTAGCTTCTTCAGGACGCCAAATTGGAGGCAAGGAGATCAAATGTCTTAGCTGGAAGATGTACAGTTGTGTCCAAAATTATTCAACCCCCAATGCTGTAAAGGGGTTTAGGGACTATAGTGTACATTTGGAATTGTATTCAGAATCAAATCCTACAAGGACGTTGTAACTACCCAAATGCAACTAAAATGACATCAATTGTTTATGTAATACAGTAGTAAATGGTTCTTTATGTGGTTTCTTCATTGCCCACAATTATTCAACCCCTTAAAGACTACCACTCTGAAGAAACAGAGGTTCATACAGGTGCTTTCCATCAGGTATTGAAAACACCTGTGGATGTCACCGAGCAGCAATCAAGCATAATAAGCACCAATTAGGCAGCTTTAAAATGACTGTGATACTCAGCTCCTTCTAGACATTTACTGGTGTGGTTACAAACATGGTGAAGGCAAGAGAATGGTCCAGGAAGACAAGAGAAGAGGTGATTTCTCTTCACAGGAAGGGCAATGGCTATAAGAAGATTGCAAAGATGTTAAACATACCAAGAGACACCTTAGGAAGCATCATTCGCAAATTCAAGGCAAAGGGCACTGTTGAAACGCTACCTGGTCGTGGCAGAAAGAAGATGCTGACTTCGACTGCTGTGCGCTACCTGAAGCGTAGAGTGGAGAGAAGTCCCCGTGTGACTGCTGAGGAACTGAGAAAAGATTTGTCAGATGTGGGTACAGAAGTTTCAGCCCAGACAATAAGACGCACACTGCGTAATGAAGGCCTCCGTGCCAGAACTCCCAGGCGTACCCCCTTGCTGTCTCCAAAGAATAAGAAGAGTCGACTGCAGTATGCCAAAAGCCATGTGGACAAACCACAAAAGTTGTGGGATAGTGTTCTGTGGACTGATGAAAACAAAATTAGAACTGTTTGGGCCCATGGATCAACGCTATGTTTGGAGGAGGAAGAACAAGGCCTATGATGAAAAGAACACCTTGCCTACTGTGAAGCATGGTGGAGGGTCAATCATGCTTTGGGGCTGTTTTGCTTCTGCAGGTACAGGGAAGCTTCAGCGTGTGCAAGGTACCATGAATTCTCTTCAGTACCAGGAGATATTGGATGGAAACGTGATGCAGTCCGTCACAACACCTGAGGCTTGGGAGACGTTGGACCTTTCAACAGGACAATGATCCCAAGCATACCTCCAAGTCCACTAGAGCATGGTTGCAGAGGAAAGGCTGGAACATTTTGGAGTGGCCATCGCAGTCACCAGACTTAAATCCGATTGAGAACCTCTGGTGGGACTTAAAGAAAGCAGTTGCAGTGCGCAAGCCTAAGAATGTGACTGAACTGGAGGCCTTTGCCCATGAAGAATGGGCGAAGATACCCGTAGATCGCTGCAAGACACTTGTGTCAAGCTATGCTTCACGTTTAAAAGCTGTTATAACTGTAAAAGGATGCTGTACTAAGTACTAAGATTGAATGTCACTTGGGGGTTGAATAAAACTGATAATGCTGTGAGCACAGAAAAGACATTTGTGGTTATTTCATTATAACTGTTATGTTATATTTGTCTGACCTACAAGTGCCTCTTTAATGTAAATGTAAGCAAGATGACTGAATGATCAAAAGCAATGTCAAACTGGCCAAAACACTCAATTTCAGTGGGGGTTTGAATAATTTTGGACACAACTGTATATACATATCAGTCATTAATAATACAAATACAATAACACAAAAACATCATAAACCCTCTAAAAGCATAATTCTCCACAGACTCACATGCCAACTTAAATGATGATTCGGGGCCACAGCACCCACATAGAGGGTAAAATTTTGGTCTTGGGTGAGCGTCCACATCCAGAGCCCCCTCATCCCCAATCAGGTGGAACCCTACAGGAAGAACAATAGAAACAATCCCACTGTAGAAAGAGAGAAGGAGGACAGGGGAAAGAGGAAATTAAAAAAGCAAGGGGGATAATATATCCCCAGCATAGCTAATAGTAGGTCACTCATGGACACAAGAGACAATCAGCGGAAATATCCGTATGCGAGTATTATCCGTATGCAAATCATTCCATGGATGCATTCCAAAAGATAATCTAGGTATATGGAAATAGCCATGTTTTAAAGAATCATAACAGTATTCAACAACTCATTTCCAAACCGTTACCTAGTAATCCCCTCCACAGGAAAGGTGTAAGGAACATGCAATGACGGACAAATTATTGTATAATGTAGGTACGCACCTTCCAATATCCAGTGTCTTATATGTGTCAGTGCACAAACTCTTGTAAATGTGACTCCTGCAATCATAAAACACATAGCCATGCTTAGTAATCCCTCAATGCTGCTGTATCTATCGAACAAAATCAAACACCATATGTCATACCTTTCAAGCCACTATGTCATGTCAGACCGCCCACTGTATGTATCTCCTCAATGTCGGCAACAACGGCGTGCGGCGGGGAGCTTAAATGATGTAATCAATAAGGTACCGCAATTTCGCCCAGGTAGTCCATAGGGTGGAAGCAAACCGCCCATACCAGCAGTAATTGCACACCGCGCATGCGCACAAACATCACTTCTGCCCAAAACAAACCTGTGGGCATAAGTGCAACCATCCACAACACCTAGCGCATGCAAACCCTCCTGAATAGGTCACACAGCCCCACAAAACCAATGCCTGCAGAAAATACAGCAGACAGCACATAACCAACGACAAACAATGGCCGATTGGAAGGAAAATTAGCAACCACCACCTCAGCTCCACCACCTCGGGAGATCCTGGCATTTGATCTCCTTGCCTCCAGTTTGGGGTCCTGAAGGTGAAACACGTCAACCTCTGGAGGATATGTATGCCATGGAACACGATCCTGTGATCTTTTGGGCTTATTAGCCAAGTATGGATTTTATATTATGTGTTTGGAAGATGCATTTTAATAAACATGTTTAATGTACAACATGAGGTCGTCAGCTTTTTGTACCAGTAAAGTCCCATTAGGTTTTGTTTTTTCTTATCGTATTATATAATAGGGATGAGGTACACATGCAGTCTAATATAATATATATATATATATATATTATATATATATATATATATATATATATATATATATAAAATTGTATAAGGGGAGGTGAGTTGGCTCCCCAGGTTTAGCTAAACTGCCCCTGTGCCTTCATTTGCTGCACATAACTCCAGCTTTAACTATTCCCATTTTTAATGCTCTGAATTTGCTTCATTAGCTGCTTTGTGTGTCTAATGACTAGAAGAAGTTAAAGTATGTCTGTTAATTCAGGCAGCATAGTGAGAATTTTTATATTTACATAAACATCATATTTCTTCATATTTTTTATGTTAAAAAGCTGTAATGTTTAATAAAAAAAAAATCCAACTTAGAAATATATACATATACGTAAATGGAACTAACATTTCTTTAAAGACAATGCACTCAGATACTAGGCACTAATAAACCTGTCATACTGGAAGTAAATGGGTTTCTGAACACAAAGGATTTCATGAAAATTGTGTTATTTTATGTTAGATAGAAAAGATGTAGCAGAGGAGGTACCCAATCAATTTTTTTGTTCTATATTGTTTCAAAATTGCTTGTCCCACAGGTTCTCAATTGAAGACAAAATCTAGGTTATATGGGTCACCAGAGAGATATTGAGGATATATAAGTTAGAGAAACCTGTACACACAGAAGAAAATGAAAACACTGAAGTACGTAATTGACTTAATAATCATTTTTTATCTTCTTTTGGTTATGTTCCATTTATAATAGCTCTGCAGAGAATACACTGACTGGGGATGTCTGCAGAATTTATATGGCTCTTCTTGAGTTTTAGATTAACTGAGAATTACTGTGGTATTATTCCTGCTAATACTGCTTCTGACACTACCATCAGGAAATAAAGCAAAACAAAGCAGCACAGTACACACCAAATGTTTTTCATGCTTAGCTTGACCATTCTAAATCTGTCCTAATTTTCCTAATAGGAATCCATGAGTGTTTCCAATCTATCACACAACATGACATTCTAGAGCTGTGCTGGGGAATAATAAACAGAGTAAAATTGAAGACAAGCCTCCATGTTGAAATTATTTTTTGACAACAATTTATCTGACTTGACAATATCAGCTAAATAAATATATCAAATGTACAGGAGTAGTTTTATGGTACATGTTTCTATCTGTATATTATTCTTGATGACAGACCCTAGGGAGCTGCTGTAGTTGCCAAAGGCAGGAAATTCTCACACTTGCCTGGTT